CAAAGGATACACATGTGTCAACAAGAGACTGATCAATTGCACTCCCAAATAACAATGGGAAGATACAAGTAAAGCAACACCAAGTGAACAACGCGATGGTGTTTGAAGCGAACGGTACTAAGTTCGAGTCCCGGAGTAAACAGCAACTCGGATGCAGGTAAATCTAGCTGACGAGTCCCGAATATGATGAAACGTGCGTCCTGGATTTTACTGCTAGCCACTATTTATCTTTGCTTAAATCTATACTGATAAAGTTTTTCATCAAATTTATGTTATACCATTCACTTATTGATCAGTGTTGATTCAACTTCTAACATTTGTGAACATTCAACTATTGTATAATGTGAGTGTATTTGATTAGTTTTTCACTACATAAATATACAAATAATTCAGGAAACGTTGTGTATATTTTCATAATAGACTGATCTCAACAGGTGAACTATTCAAAATTATGAACAGGGCAGATAGTTTTTTCTAGTCTGGAATTTGTCATTAGTGCTACACGTGTTACTACCAGATGGCCAATGTAAACCAGTGAATCTTAGACAGTTGTATTTCCTCGTGATAGCGGTCCCCGAAAGCACTTCTCTGCAAGTCACTGGGGATAAAACCTAAACCCATCGGGCCCTAAGAGCTTAAACTTTGGATTAATTGGTCTAATTTCGGTTGTGGACGCCAATTCATCACGTTTCTTGAAATGAGACAGAACAACTGTTCAAATCTTGCTGCTTTTCAATGGTCACCTAACTCAAGTCAGTTGATGATGTGAAACTTCAACATGAAAATTGTTGTAGTTTACACGAATATTACTGTGAAAAGTAATCATTTCTCGATAGGCTTTCAAGTGCAATGACTTATTGTGTTTAAACAAACCATAGTGGCTATGAAAAAGATGGTATATATGGAAATAGTAAACTGAGTACGAAAATATAATATTCGGTGTACACATCAATAATTGAATGCACTAATTCTGTCTAAATGAGAGTTATTCTACAAGTAAACATTGAATAATCAACCTTATTTATAGATTACAATGTACTCTATAATAAATTGGTTAGCTATTGTATAAATACATGTGTACTTTGAAAAATGGATAGAATATTTTATGCAATGAAAAAGTTTTCACGAATAATATCGCTTATTCTTTTAATAATTTGGAATTTACTACTTACAAGTAGTTGGAAAATATCAGTAAAATATGTTAGCTCATATTTAACACTTGTGTATGTTCATGGCGGTAATGATGCACGTCTTAGTCATTATGATGCAATGAGATTTTGTAAAAAGTTGTCTGGAAATATCCAACTTATTAATGAGACATTAATTCAGAATGCTACAAAACATAATATTTCCTTAAATGACTATATAAATACAACACTGAATACTAAGTATCTCAATCATTCGAAAAATATTCTGTACGGTGACTTAGTATCAATTCATAGCTCATCTATGATACATGTAATAATGGGTTGGGTTTTATCCACAGAAGCAAGACAATTTTGGATTGGTGGATTGATCAAATTAATTGTGCATGAATTCAATGGTCAACATAGACATGTAATACAAACGTGGACAGATCATACACCTGTAACTTTACGTTTTCTACATCATCATAGTCCTGTATTAGAAAATTTAAAAGCAAATGATATTGCTTGTCTATCAATTGATTATGCTAGTGGTAAATGGGGTGTACATTATTGTACTGAAACAAAATATTTTGTATGTGAATTATTGAGTTTACCAAATAGACGAGTGATAATAAGTCGACCACATCTAACTGTTACTCCTAATACTACAATCACTTTACATCGTAATCATACTATAAATAGAAATAATTCAAGATCAAGAGTCATAATTATTCATTTACATAGTCGTGGCCATTTAGATAATATTATGAAACATCTTAAGACTACCTCCAATTCAACAGTAAATGTTACTTCACATAATACAAATTCAACAACAGTTGGAATGACGACGACTACACCTACAACTACCGTGAAGTTGAATGGAAATACTACACCTGAAACACATGGGAAGAAGTAAACTTCATGATCGAACGTTTACATTACATGTAAAGAAGAAAAAATAAAAGGTTTGTCGACCACTTCATTTGTTATTACTTTTAGAATAGGTATTGTATCAAATAATTATCTGAAAGTCAATGTAATACTAAAGTAATGAATGATGATTATAAGTGTAATATCTAACTAGAGTTTTTTATATATTTTAATTTTAACTTGTAAGTAAATATGGGCTAGCTTTATAAATAAACTATCGTTCAATAATATGACATGGGTCAATGAAAGAAAGTTGCCGTGGCAACAGACAATATCCATCAGAAACAATATTGAACTTATTTTGATGAATTTTTGTTCTCTGAGCTGTATGGTTTAGTCAGAGAACAAAAATCAATCAAAATCATCCACATGAGCTACAAATCTTCTCCATCATCTCAATATTGAACTTAGTACAAATGATAGTCAGTTCGAGTAGTTATTTTATTGATCAATATGTTCAGAGGAAATCACATGATGGTAACCATGATATAGTTCGAAGAGAAAAACAGTGAATATTCAGAGGTAAAACTAAAATCTTCGATTAAGAACTTAACACACTAATGTATAACTCAATTGAATAATCCTAGAACGTCTTTAACTGACAATTTCCTTCTAAAATAATTCTATTCTAGCAATATACATTTTATGTAAACTCACCAAACTAAATGTCATTTTATTTTCTGAACTGAATCAAAGTAAATTACAGCCTATACATAGATTCGATTATACGAAACCAATTAATCAGGGTGAATAAATTCGATGGTGAATACGCAAAGTAAAGTTGGATATTTATTTTTAGATTCATAACTCACATGTGCGTTTCGCTATAACCATTATTCTATATTTTCTATGAATCATAATGAAAATCATAGGGTTTAACGTATAGCGGATTAAGGACTAGTGTTACCGGCTACCGATCATAATACGTGTGTGAAGCCCATTAATATTATCGTCAGTATGGAGACTATTGAATTACATTGAAATCACGATCAAAGGTTCTGGTTTCGACTATCGGTTGTGAATACGCACTTCTGAGGAATCTCATATCAGCATGAAATTGACACCCACTTTTAAATCGGTTCCTGGTTTCAATGTTATTATCATTATTGTTTGAATAAACAAAGACAAAGAAACAGGAGTCATATCGGTGGCTTACTAATTTATTATTGAGTTCATTACGCAATGTTACTGATTCTTTCGAATACGTAACAAACATCAGTTATGACAAATGCACTTGGTATTGTTTGCCTGAATCTTCCTATTATTTAAGACTGCAATTGATCAGTCTCATGTTGGCATATGTGCATGTTGCCAACCAACATATCAAAATTGATATGAATGCTAGTATAAGTTTTGAATTACTCCAGTTCCTAACATCCTACTGAGCACTGAAGCAACGTTTTTTTAGATAATGAGTCCCAAACATTTTTACACCAGCTTTCACTAATCATAACTGTTATCTGTATACTCTAAATACATAAGTATCTGTGCATAAGACACAAAAAAAGTTCCTTCTAAGAGTGGATTTATGACAACCGATTAATAATTCACCATCGATTGATCACTGCCATGTGTCAGGTTCTTTAGGGAGTATCAATCACATCAACATTACAGATATACCTTACTGACGAGTACCAAATAGCACGAAACCCTGTTGATCACCTCTAACCACCATCTTATATCAACTACTAATTATATGACTTAAATTGGTCACTATTGGCTAACAATACAGTAAGTGAATATCAACAGAAAAAAAGATAATGATTGTGACAAGAAAAGAAATTGACGATGAGAAAAGTAACTAGTCGTCTAAATGTAATACGAAATAATCGAAACGAAACGTTTCGAAAAGCATGTACATAGTGAATTAGCCAGTTTTCCTAAGAATAATAACTTTGTTTTAAGTAAGTTAACTTATTCTCTCCCTGACATCTAAATCTGCAATTTAAGAACCATTATGTACATTTAATTCGTAAATATTTCAATCCACTTTGTAATTTTGATTTTCAATATTACAAGTGAAAAGCAGCTAATGAGAACCGAATGAAATAGATATTCTGTTCGAAATTCATTCACCCGTTGGCATTTTAGATGATGTCGGTGATGAAAAACCATAAATCCAATTCCTAACCATAACCATCAACTATAAATCATAAACTACATCCTTCAAATTGCTTTATAATCCTCATTTAGTCCTAGTAGGTAGGTGGACATTCTCAACGTCACTAAAGTCGTCCATAAATTATGGTCTCAGCAATAACATTTACCAAATGTACATCTTTTCTTGCCTGAATCGTTACAATGAATATGGAGCCTCAGTAGATTCTGATCATAAAACGTTATTGGTAAACTATTTGATTAAGATTTTTAGCCCTTGATGGCTTAAGAATTCTAATTAATTTACTGACGACTATTTGAATGCTTTCAAGCTTCACTGGACATGATTAGATAAAGAAATTTGAGGAAATTCAACGAGAATCTATTCATTATTGATCAAAGAAAGTTACTTATCTCAATGGTTTAAACTAACTGATTAGTTTCAATAGGGTTTTCATGGCCTATCCAAAAAATAAAACGAAAATTGCAATCGCTGGATCCCAAAAAAAAACCCTACATTGATTTCATCCCCCAAAATTTGACCAAAAATCCGCCAAATGTTGCGAATCTTAACAAAGTAACTATTACGGTTATAATACTCTACCACTTAAGAATAAATGTTCAACAAATCATAAATACAAAAATTCAAGATACTAACATAAGTAATTAATAGACAAGACATATTAACCTCAAAACAGTCCTGAACTCATTAAGGGATGATTTAGTGATTGAATCCATCGAATGTCAACTAGAAACTCGTAAATTTCAATCCAGATTCATGTGATTTAGTTTAGACAACTGAGTATTATCACTATCATCTAAACAAATACATTAAAAAAAATAAACCTCGCTCAAACTCGTATAGATAGACATGTAATTTGATGAGTTACAACATTATGTAATAGTCAAGTAGGCAAAACTCCATAGAAACAAGCGAAATTCTTTCTATTCAGTTAAATAGAAATAGAATATTATGAATATATATTTTTTTAAACAAAAATAAAGTTTTTAAACTCTTTTATAAATAAAAGGTATTGTGTACAGATTTGTAAGGGGAAAACAAAGACACAAAAGACATACATACATACATACATACATACAATACAATACAATACAATACAACAGAGAGAAGAAAAAGAAAGAAAGAAAAAAAGAAAAGAACAACGATTGCAGAAAAAAGAATCTCTATTTAAAACAAAAACATTTTGTTTTTTTCTTTCTTTATTTATTTATCATCATCAATTAATTTGAAATTTGTAGTTAATAATTGTTGTGTCAATATTTCATACATCATACGTTTACGTATTCCTGGCATATCATCCTTTGTAATTAGATAAGCAACCGAAAACAGAATATAATATAAATGAAATGAATTATGTATGAGCATATATATATATATACATGAATAGCTAGTGAGTATCTGTTATAGATGATTATACATATAATGAAACATTTAAGTCAGAAGTGGTATAGATCACATTCAAGTAATTGATAAATGAATCTAAGACGTTATCATTAAGCTCTTCGTGTAGGGATTAATTTCTCAAACAATTGAGGTAATTAGAGTTTAATGAACATTGAGAAGTGGTCAAGGTCATGTTAACTTGGTCTTAGTAGAATTTCAGGTAGATTCTGATTATATCTTGCAATGAACTGTCAATTAGTGAAAAACCTAAGTTGAGTAAGGTCTGCCTTTTGACTATTTCTAACAATCTGACATGAATTCCGTATATATCTTCTTCATTCGATCACATACATCTACTTTATATTGAAAAAGCCCTAAATGTTCAGCAGTTCCTTGATGTTTCACTGTAGATTACTACACATTAGATTCGAAATTATCAAGTCAAATTCTGGTAATGACACCTACAAACTGATAAATATATAAATCTAGTTATAAATTAATGAAACAAATATTATTCGTTCATATACTTTTTTGTTATAATAAAATTGGGATTTTTGAACGGTTGGACCATGAATTTTAAAATCCTTCGGCGTTAGACACATTGCTAAATACTACATTATTAAGTTTGGTCATAAATGTTCTAGAAATATTGCTCACATCTGTTGGGATCACCGGGTAAATAACAGTGAGATTAGACGCCAGAGTATTAGGGAATGATGGTAAATCAGTTGATGAGGTTGTGAATCTACATCGACTGAGATGGTTGGGCCACGTGTTACACATGCCTGAACACAGATTACCACGGTGTGCAATCCTGACCAGTATTGCAGATGGATGGAAGAAATTTAGGAGCAGCCAAAGCAAAACATAGCATCAGTCCATAAATTCGTTAACTTCTAGTTTGAGCCATGTTGGTAGATACAGATTACTTGGTTGTGGTCCGCATGACTATCGTAACCAATGGTTGGAGACTGGGAGATATGGTTCAGAATCGATAGCAATAGCGTAGGTGTATACACTCTTTGTCTTTCCTTAAACCGTGAGATTAAAATTATTTCATGCCTTTATTTCTACGAACTAAATTTTCCTCCCTGTATCATATCCTTATATGAAATCTTTTCTTACTATTATTGAAGTAACTGCTTCTATGAATTTGGTGATCATCCTGTTCTGCTAATGAGGTACGGCAACGTGAACCTATGAATATATTTGCCTGGTCCTACTTTGTAGATGACTGACTGAAACTGAAACAAAGTAACATAAAAAACTGATTTTTCGATCTTAAACGTCTGACTGAACTTTATAAACTAAAACTCAGTTAAGTATACGGTAACCACTGAAATTTCTAACAGCGAAATGAACGATGACAGAAATACTTTTATTGATGGTACAACCGACATATATTCACACAATAAACTAATAACGTTTAACCTCATAATCTAACTAATGTGTTGTTTGAGACTGTTATATACAAATACAATAATACGATTATTAAATAATATTTGGTAAGTATTAAAAATCAACGTCATAAATAACACAATAAATTAGCAAAACATACACATACATGGTTTTGTGAAAATTGGATAACAATTTGAAAATGAATAGATTACCTGACTAAATGTAAATGAAGCATCACGAGAGATGAATTCACCAAATGTACAGAGGAAAACACCACAATCGGAACCGTTGTACTGCTGAGGCACAGTGTCCTTGAAATAAATATTTTAAAGGTAAATCAATTATATAATAGGTTGTATTATCATTATTATCTGAGCACATAAACATTGGTACAAGGGGGCACCAGATATACGTGCACCGCATAAAAGTGATTTAGTCTGAGTATGGCCAAAAATACTGATTGGGCGCCTAAACCGAATCAGGTGGTTTTCTTAGGTGGCCCCACACACACCGAGCCTTTGACCTAAATGTCTAATCTACAAGGCAGTAGAGCAACGTTGGGAGATGCAGTCCCATGGTAGTCGGTGACCAAGAATTGGTTCATACACCATTTGTTACCTCACGATCCTGGAGCCCATATGCACGATTGGTTTGGAATCAGGGTTTTCCAAATGCCTTAGATGGGTCCTCCGATTCCACCAACCCGATTAAAGAGCTGGACATTCGCTTTTCATCCTCTCAATTTCGTGAACAAAACCCTTGCCACGAGAAGACAATGAGTTGGACCTCTCTGGTAGTGGCTGTGTCCACGACAATATTAGAGCATTTCGAGAGGGAGAGCGGATTCTCCCTACTCTCGGCCGTACCAGGGCATTTGTAGGCAAGGCATAAACAACGTTGATTATGGCATATATGTGTATTGGCCAATGTTTTTATACTACATAAACATAGTGAGATGAAATTAACAAGATAAGTTACCAAGGTAATTTCTAGATTAATTAATTAATTCGTATAACTTTGAGAAATTAATTAGATTATCAGACAACTCAAAATTTTGTACAGCTTTTCATAGAACTAGATCAATTAGTATTTTCGTAATTAGAAGATGATTTTTACTCTATTTAAAAGTGAGGCTGTATATTCAATTTTTCATTATCGTAATTAAACAATAGTCATTTCATACAATGATCATTGTGCTTCTCATGATGATGGATACTTCAAAGATAACGATGGTATACCTTGAACAATGAACTATATGATAGTATAAACTAATGCAATTTGGTTTATAGCATGAGTTTGACATTGAGACCAGTCATTTTTACAGAATATCATGTTCTTGTCACATACAGAAAAAACTAAACAACTTTTCACCATCCAGAAACAAAAAGACAAACTAACTGAACTCTTAAGACATTACTAAGAACATCTGAAGAACACATAAAAGCTAAGTAATCAAATAATTCAGTCGCGAAACATCAGACATTAAAACGTCCTATACTTGTCGACTACTAACCTTTACTTATTTATGCAAGTTGAACTTATCAGAGATACATGTTGATTATAGCAAGTACTTGTCAAACGATTCAAAACAACTGATATTATCCGACCGATAAAACCGAATTGATAATGCAACTCATTTACCAAGTACAGATGTGTGTCCTTGGCTGTGGGCCTCAGCTTACGCGTAAGAGCTAGTGATACTACCCGGTCGCTCAAACCAAAGTAGGTAGGATGGGGTTTGGACCTGCGACAAAAACTGCTGGGGGTTAAGTGAGTTGACCAGCAAACTATCAACTCTCTGGAACATTCAACTTACTGTGAACATAGATCAAATGATTATTTAAATTTATCATTCTGTTCGAAAAGTGAGTGATTCAATCAATCAATCCTCAGTTAGTTAAAGTCAACATAAGACTTAGCACTGACATATATTGATCAGAGTTACCATACCACGTCAGCACAGCGAGTTGGAATCGACAGAACGAATATGAAATGAACTAACATAGTGATAGTCAACACTAAGTAAGAGTTAAATTACCTCTGTATTAACGAGTTTCCAAGAATCTGGATCTGGCAGTTCAACATTTCTTTTGTCTAATGATTCATTTTTCAAATAATCCCTTTCCAGAAAACAATTTTGAAAAAAAAGAGTAGATTACGAACAAGAATTCGATTATACATAAACTTAAAAGAAAACTATTCATTCGTAATATATTTGTTTAAGATTAAGAATAGTTAAACTTTTTTGTTATAGGCACGAGGATTTTGGGTAAAAGGAACTAAGCATGTGACTCAGTAGTCAATGTGCTATTCGATTGTAACATTCCAATCATACGATTATTAAAACTAACTGAGCTACGTTAACTTATATTGAGTCAATGTTTAATCAGATCTGTTTAGTTGTCAATAAAGAATAAAAACACGAATCCTGTATGTTTATTGATCATATTAATTGGTTATTCCCACTGAACAAATAAATCTATATTAACCAGTTTTTTTCTCCTCACTTGGATCGAGTAGTACACACACCTTTCCACATATGGGTTTCGGAATAGTAAACTTCGTTTTATCTGGTAAAAACAAAAATTGATTGCTGTAAAAGCTGAGAGGTGTTTAAGTTTGTGGTTAAAAGTCGACTATTACGTAATTGCAAAAGGTCTATAATGTCAATCGTCACAAACATTCACTGGATAACGATCGATATAGACATTGCTTACAAGAAAGTTTACGGGTTTCAGTGCTATTGTTTGTGACGCACAATGTACCTAGATCACAAAAAATACGATAGAGAGATGAGCTATATGATCATCATCATCATCATCATCATCTATAAACGCCTTACCTATTTTTGCTCGGAATTCGTCAGAAGTAAGTCGCTTTACATGTCACCTTAACGGTAGACGAGATAATATCAACACAACCAATGACAGTCTGACCATTAAGTTTTACGACTAGGGAGGCTGAGAAAAGTATAAGTTTGACTAGACGAAAACTGCTATAATTAAATAAACATTATGGAAATTATTGAAGTTTAAAATTTACAAAATGAAATGACTTAAGTTAAAGTCACTAAAAACCAGAAAGCACTATAAAGATGTTCCGTTCTAGTATATGAATCCTCAAGACTGTGCATCCACGACACCATCGAGGATCGAGCCCAGAACTGTCAGGTTTCACATACGTGCTTCGGTTTGGGCACCCGGGCAGTACCACAGCACTCACACATATCAAATGAGATTTGTGTGGCGCATATGTAACTGGTGCCCATTTGTGCCAGTATTTATATGTTCAAATAAATAAATAAAATAAGGTTTCACAGCAACGGCCCTACCACTAAGTCAACATAAAACTATCTACAAGTCTTTAACTTAAATTAATCCGCAATATTGCTCAGTTATTTTTTAATGCTACTGTTGGGCACCTGACTAAGATGGTCGAACTCTAAATGTCATTAGTTGTCTCCTAGAATCCAGAAAACAGAAAGATCTAGGTTCGGTGCCCGGTGTGGTGGTGAATGTGTACTGATGAGTAGTCCCTGTACCCGAATGAAACAACTTCCAGTACCCCCTGATATTCAATAATTATCTAACTGAGGATAGTCCTTAATGTAAACTACAAAATACTATTGTGCTGAATTTTTCTATTTCTAAACATTGGATTACCAAACTAACAAGCTAAAAGCCTGGAATACATTCATAGGCAAAGCACATTGAAACTATTCAATAGAAATTAGTGAGGCTTTCTTGAAAAATAATTTATACACAAAAATTTCACAGGTTGAAATCATGAGTCGATTGAAATTAGACCACCATGGAAAAACCTGGAAGCACTGGACAGCCGTTTCGTCCTAGTATGGGACTCCTTCAATCGACTCATGATTTCAACCTGTGAAATTTATAAAACTCTCCACAAAACCCATTCTGATTATACACATAAAGCCTTCAGTCAGTGATATACAGCAGAAACGTAAAACTTACATTAACTGTTCCAAACACTTCATGTTACCAGAACCCATGGAATCGTAATATGTTATCGTTTTGACACGTAAATCAATACACTTGAAAGAGATTATGTTTTTAAAAGAGAAAAAAATACAGATAAGTAAATTAAAAGACAGATGAGTTTAGAATTAAATCAGCAAAAAGTATCCAATAGATATCCAACAGGTAGGTAGCCACATGAGAAGGTCAATCGATGGCAATCAGAAATGACCTGGAGAACAAGTGCATACCATTGGCTAAGTAACAGATTAATTTCCTAAGGGGTAGAGTTATATGTAAATAAATGAGTATTTGTGTATTTTATTCCGCAGCCTAATATACTTTCTCATTCACTCTTGTGTTCTCACTCAATTAGTCAGTTGGGGGTGGGGAGGTTATCGCGTTTATTTCGGAGACCGCCCGTCATAACAGATATATTGCATCTGAATTACAACAGATTAATATTGTGATATACTACTATACATCATTTACATATTAAAAGTAAGCAATGTAAAACCAACTATAAGTCAATTCACCATACTAGTATTATATGATTACTTCACCAAATGACATTCAAACACCAACGTTTACAATGAATTAGTTATTCAATTTTATACACAATCTATTTTCCACCAGCTTTATGTAATGGTAACACGAAAGTGGGGAAATAAAAAATGATTTTGGCCACTTTTAGTACTGCAAAGATTCAGTGTTAATCTGAAGATTAGGCATCTACAATGAATCCACCCCATGGAAGAGTTGAGTGAATGATTTCTGATAATAGTAATTATAGTAAAATTGAGAGATTGTTGTTACATAAAGCTATTCTACAAACTACACATAATTGATAAATTTCTTTCAGTGAACTGGCTGAATTTATCAAAAGGACTAATCGCTTTAACTTCGGCCTTTAATCAACAAATAATGACAACTTTTCATTCTCAGAATAAGGATTTGTGTAGATTGTAGTAGGTTCAGTAGTTGAATATATGATTCAGTTTAAGCTGGACCACCACTGAAGACCAGGAAGCAAGATCGTGGATCGATTGAAGTTAGGCATTAACGCCGCCGCATGCCGGATCAGTGGTCTAGAGGTTAAGCATTCGTTTGCGAGACCAAAGGTCTCGGTTCGAGTCCGACATGCAAGATCGTGGATGGGCACTTCTGAGGAGTCCCATACCAGGGCGAAACGGCCGTCCAGTGCTTCTAGGTCTTCAATCGTCGTCTAGCCTAGATCGAATCATGAATTCAACTATTCAAAACTTAACACTCAACTACAAGCTTACACAATTGGGTAGGGACGTTTGGTAACGAATGTGCTAGCTCCAGGTGGAGGGTCACCATTATAATCAAACCAGTGATGTAGATCTATTGAAGGGCCCTGAGGAAACAATTAGCGCATGTACCTATTTTGGTCACGATTTAATATAAGACTGCGTCTTCTGACGTTGCTCCACTACCTTGTAGATGAGACCTCAAGGTTAAAGGATTAGGGTGTAACTCTCTGAACAAAACAGATTCGGAACTTTCAGTGATGAGTTTTTATGTGACATTTGGAGATAACGACTGGCTACTTAGAATGAAATACGTGAGGTAATAGTGTTTATATTTAATACTTAATAGTAAAAAGTAGGGGTGGCACTCAAAACCCTGCCATTCGATTATTTACTTACACTTAAACACCAATGCATTCCTCTGTCATGAATTGGGATAAGTACAATATCTTGATCAAATAATTTTGATTGTCGTGTCCAACGTCGTACTCCTGAATAACCTCCACCTATTGGTGCTGTTAACTTTGCATAAAAAAATGTTGATAAAACAGCGATACGAGGAAGATTTGTTTGATGTTGACTTCGATGTTGTAACAATTGTAGGTAGAAATTGATTACCTGTGAAACAAAGTATAGAAAATAATTCATAAATTAAAAGTTTGAAGATGAAATGTATGATCTTGTAAACTGACAATACTTAAATTACAGAAGAAACGTTGCTAGCTTAATGAAACTTAGAAAATGGAATAGTTGAAAATGTACAGAATGTTTTAGAGTATGTTTTACGAGAAGATAGTGAATCAATGCTTTATGGAAAATGCTTGGGTAATAGTAAGATGTAAGTTACCAGACACTGGACTGCTTCGGTTCGGGTACCCGGACAGGATTCCAACCCTTACAAGAATCGAATCATTTATGTGACGCATATCTTTTTGATGCCCCTTGTACCAATGTTTGTGTTTAAATATACAATAAATAAATAGCCACTGGACTACCTGATTTTAGTGCTTTATTGAAGGTAATCATAAGTTTAAAATGATTCAGTACAAAGGAAGTGAACTCCAATCAATGAATTGTATGTTTGATTATTCACACAAAATCATGTTGTTTATAGAAGTCTTCAAATTGGAACGTGAATGTACTAGAATTGGTTGATTAGTCGTTAAAAGATAAATTAATGGAAAAACTTTTCTGCACTTGCATAAACATTGAAATCAAGATTTCTAAAGACAACTAACGAATGAATATGAAGATTTGGCATACCACTATGGATATCGAGTTACATCATACTTAAGATTTGTTACCATAGATTACGTTTATCCGACAGGCTTGAATCGGGAAGTTTACATTTTGCCGAATGCTTTGGACAAGTATAGGCAAAAGCCTCAGGCATTGGTCACTGAATAATTGCAAGTAAGTTGTTTATATTGCTCTATGGCTTTTTGTATTATCGCTTTACTGGCTAGATTTACAAAAAAGCAACAATTATCCCAAAATATAATCTGAGGTCACAATTAATTCATAAATATGAAACTGACCATATCGCTTAACCAATTTGTTCCAGTTAATGTCATTAATTCACGACGCGTAATAACTAATCTAAATTTATCTACAAGTACTTCATCTGGAGAACCAGTACGAAGAGCTGCTTCAATCTCAGCTAGTTGAGGTGCAGTTAAAACTAAGAAACAAAAAACAAAATACAATAACGATAGAAATAAAATGTGAAACTTCATCTCTGAACTACACTTTAGAAAGTACAACACTACTTTAACGTTAATAATAAAAGGAAGTAGAAAAATAAATCAACAATCTCTACTGCATACAGTTATGTCTAGAAAATGTTGAACCATGTTTACCTCCTGTAAACATATATTAAATTATACTTGTTAAAGGAGATTGCTTAAGTAATGACAGTCTACAGGAGCCAGTTTTACTTTCTGGTTGCCACTGGCAAATGTAATGCCAGCCGAACGGACACAGAATGCATTACTGACTAAATAACACTAAACCTACCTAAATGAATGAGGCTTTGCAGGTGAATCGTCGTTAGTCTAATTTTATTAACACTACAATGGATACAATATGCGAGGAAACAAAGTTCATCTACACACATATATATACATATAAATGATATACATGTGAAGGATGAACGATAACTGACAGATTCATCCCAACCTTATTACTATATTATTATTCATACCGTGAACTAACTAGATAACATAGTGAATTTTCATAATTTGCACACCATTAAGATTATAATTAAATGAACACTATAAACTAATACAAAATAGACAGAAAAAATCATACCAGGAAGAGCTGGTACTTTGGGTTCTTTAACTTTGACAGGTTTATATGGCAGTTCAATGGGAATAGGTTGAGGTACTAAATATGGATCTTCCAGAATAGGAGGTGTTCTCAGTAAACAAGCAAGTCTCTGTTCAAGATTGTCAATACGCTCTTTTTCAGCTGAAGCACGCTGAAATAATGAAGCAATGAAATGAAGTGTTACAATTATAAAAATTAGTTATTTATTAAAATATAAAATTATCTTGAATAGTCTAACTTTTGGTTGATACGCTTAATTTTAAAACAGTAATACATCATAAAATTAAGAAAACATTTAACACACTATGTTGTTGGATGATGTAAGAATTCGAATGCGATCCATTGATCATCAAATCGAGATAAATAGAACGCTAGACAGCAATACTACTTTCAAGTCAAGCTAATCAGTAGATTCGTTCAAGGTCATATAGCTAATTCTGAACAACTAGAACACATGTTAAACGACGACGGAAGATAATTATCCTTAGGAGTACAATGATTGAACCAGGTCATAAACGCTTATTATATTCCTTCTAAAAATGCTTTATTTTATGGACATACAGAGCTAAATAACCTTACTACAGAGTTGAATTTTGTATTTGGATAATAGAAGAGCTCCTGCTCGTTTTGATCTATTTATTGAGTAAAGAAAAGAGGAGGAGGAGAATAGGCATAAGAATTGATATCTTATGGAATTATTCAAAGAAAGCCCAGATGATGAATTCATTATGTCCAACAATCCTTAGGCTTTACTATCAATCTATAAGTCCGTTATACACAACGTAGAACCTGACAAATATGTGGATCGATTCAAGTGTGGTGTGTGCTACTTATATCGACATAAGTAGTATATAATGTTAGTCGTGAACAGGTCTGGCAGCAGAAAGACAAGAGGATCGAACAGTAAGGAATGGAAACAGGATGCAATTTGTGTGAAAATGCAAGAACAATGAAGTCTGAGTCATTATTAGACAATTGATGGACATTTTGCAAATTAGGCATTTACTTTATGATTGTTAAATTTTATTAACAAATCCTGTATTTTTGTGTTGAATAGATTCGATTGTCCCCACTGGTGTTCTTGTTCACTACACAAGTACCTATACTATACTACTACAATGAGGTAAAATTATTTCAAGACAAACCGCAGAGTGTTAGGAGTAGTAACGGCATCAGTAGTCGAAAAGATTCAATAAAGAAAAAAAAGAAAGGTGAAAAGGATTTGGGCACTAAGGTTTTAAAGAAAGACGAAGAGTGAATGAACCTAGAATAATCCGTGTTATTAATATGAATAAAATTAATGTAATAAATAACTCAATATCTTCCATATATATTTAGTTTTCCAACAACATTCTTGAAGTATTCATAAAGCATAATTAGTATAGAAATATAGTACTTTAAAAAAATTGCCGAAGGTTAATGAGTCACGATCTTAATTATGTAAATTTACTTAGTGAAAATCTGAAATAAAGAGCTACAATAAAACAGTAAATCAGTTATATTATTAATTATATCAACCTTAAGTTGTACTTCATGTTCAACTCAAAATTGAACCTCGAGATGAAGGTGTATATTCTTGAAGAATCATGAATATAGAACTAAAATGTGATCAGAAAACCCTATTAAGATAAACCAAGGTTTTTTCGTTCAGTTAAGGAAAAATGCAACAGCACCTAAGTTACCTGCTTCTCCCAAAATCGTATGTTTGCTCTCGCCAACTCATAGTCACGTTCACGTTCATTCTTTTTAGCCTGATAGCTTGAGGTCAAGTTGTTAAGCCAGTTATCTGATAAGTAGGGAGATTCTGCAATACTTTCAAGCCAGGCACGAGTTTTCGAGTCACTGGTATCTGAAGATGGGATAGAGACAGTTTGATGATTTGTGCCTAGCAAGAGAATTGGATAAGATTATAAGAAACCATCTAAATTGAAATACAATCAACTTTAGGGCGAAAAAAACTAAAGGTGTTTAGTAAAACTTGCATTCTTAGAAGTAAAAACAGTAGTTTGTATGTCGTCAGTTCCACAGCAAGCTGATTACAGCAGCCATATACATGAATAAATAGAGCGCAATTTAAGAGGATGCATTCGCCACTACTTAAATACAACAGCTATCAGGTACATCTCCCTTAAGTAGCTGCTCCGAAAGAATGACGAGACCAAGTGGATAAAATAATAGAGTAATAAAGTATTTGAATCGAAGATAACAAGAGATGAATGTTATTCTGTTAAACAATGAAAAATAATGCTAATTGTTCCACCTTCGATAATGTGAAAAATTTTTTAGTTTTAGAGATACGGAGCTGAGATGGTGGAGGTTTGTAGCTCATGTGGATGGTTTTGGTGGAGTTTCTAAACATTACCAAAAGAATAGTGAAAGCTCCACGATGATACCATGCAGCTCAGAGAACGAAACTCCACAAGATACGAAACTAAATGACTATGCCATCATAGGCAATATGGGACCTGACACGTGTACATCCATTCAAGTTACAACACACAATTATCAGAGAAATGAAACTGTCAAGACAAATCATAGAGCAGTATAGGTAACAACAGTGTTGATCTTAATTTAAAAAATAAGGGATCAGAGATACGGTTCGAGAAAAAAATATGGATTGGTAGCATAAAGAAAATTTTACAGTGATTTAAAAATTTAGGATTTAAGGGAAGATAAAGAGTAAGTCCACCTGAGTTATTGTGAACAATTCTAAGCCATGTCACCACTGGTTATGATAATCACACAAATACTAACCAGGCACATATCTCAGCTTAACCGTTAGTGTCCTGATCCCATGTCTTGGTTTGGACGCCCCTCGTTTTCTTCCAACCTACTTTACTGGCCATTATAATGCATCGCAGTAGTCGATGTATAAGCATTTACTGATTATTATTATTATTATTATTATTATTATTATTATTATTATTATTATTATTATTAATGGCTTTATTCACTATTATCTTTTTGGTACAATATAGAATTCTCAGCACCTGTGTATCTGGTTTCAGTTAAACGTAGTGTTTTAGTACTTAAGTATTATTCATCTCGTCCCTTTTAGCGAATCATTTATTACATCTGACAGTTCCTCAGAGATCTCTTTAGACACCAACTGTACTTCAATGAGAAGTAAAACTAAGCAGCATTTAAAGTTGTGACGAATATTCGACCGACTGAATCATTAATACAACCTGATCCATTAAATACTTATGCAAATCTGTGTAAACTTAGCTAGATCAAAATAAATTAATCAGATCTTCTTGAATACCCTTTATTTGAATGTCGTATTCGGTTACAATTACGCAATAACCAGAAATTATTTACTAAGGCATACCTTTCAGAAGAAGCATGAAAGAAGTCATAAATTCGCACCTTAACTTTTGTTGTTACTAATGCCTGATGAAATCAACCTTTTTTCGTCAAAACACCATCGAACTTTAAAAACAGTAAGCTTACTAGCGTCGTCAATTCGCTGGATTCGGTTCCTTGGAAGAATTGGAGAAAGATTACATCTAAAAACAAAATAAACAAGATTTGGGAAACAGGTTAACAAATGAGAAAACTAGTTAATTAACTTGAAGGATATGAAAGAGAACAAAAAACTCAACTATCAGACTTTCCAGACACGTAGAACATACTGAAACTGGCACCCAGTTGTTCATTATCAACTAGAAGCCAAAACGAATGACTGGCACTGTGGTTCAAACTTTGAGTCAAGAAAACTATGGCTAACTTGAAGAGAAAAGGAACAATAGGACCCGATGAATTAATTCCATGGGTCTAAAGAGATGTTAACTAATACGATTACCAAGATTAATTAAGAAAATAGGCGAATTTCACCCGCTGTATTTGACTAGTCTTGATTCCTGGTTATAAGAAAGAACATAAGGTTGTGATAACTACTGAGTTATCAGTATCCAAAGTAGTTTCTAAGGTAAAAGATTCCTGATAAAACGTGTAATATTGAAGAAGTTGGAACGTCTGGACCTATTATATGGTAAACTATTCTTATTTTTACTTTAAAATTATTATGTAATAGGTTTATGGTATTTTCATATTGCTTTTGATTAATACAAACTATTGATATGAGTCTCTTTATAGCAAATTATCGCTGATTATCTATTTAGTCTTTCTCTGCCATAGTCGCTGAGTACTAATCAAACAAAATTTATCAACTTTAACCCCCACCCCTTATTTGGTCTTTTAATATTTATCCCTGACATAATCTTATTGATGTTCACATTTATTTTGCTTTGCTTCTTAACATTTCGAATGGTTATGAAACCAGCTATGAATTTTATTTTGGTTGATTAGTAATAAATATAAAAAATCCTACTCTACATTATACAAATACGCGTCAGTCTTAACTACTTTTGTTCATACATTTCGTGTCTTCCCTTATAATGATTTCGTTTACGTCTTGCACATTTGTCTAAACTTCGCAAACTTAAGTATGTTAAACATTTAATTACAATTATTTTAACAGCTGGGATTTAAAGCTATATACAGTTGATGAGAAGCCGTCAAATAGAATAATTTCATTATATTCTTCAAACCTGACTGTTCCTGCTCTGTTTAAATTTATCAAGGGATATGGTTGTATACAATTTTATTTACTTACACAAGTAATAGTCATCCAGAAGCATGTTTATGAAGACTTATTAATCTTCACTATATCTGCCTCACTGTTCAACATCACCAGGTTCAAGATGGATATCAGCGAAATTACGGAAGTTTAACACCATGTGAAATATGAAAATCAGTGGATGAAATAATGGTATGAAAAAGGTATTTAGAAAACTTGGATAACATTGTGACATTCTACAGATTACAGTTTCAATAACAAATGGAACGAATTTGCCAGTCATTAAGATGATAAACATCGAAACAAACCAGTAGTGACATAAAAGTATGACTTACTGTCGCAATAAAGAATAGTGATTATCTTTAATTTCGTCAAGATTTATAGTGATGGGACCACATGCATTATTTGTAGGTTTGCCAGTAGGAGTTCGGGAAAATGATGACGCCTTATCTAACAACCGTTGATATATCTGCCTTTCAGATGAGATGTGATTTTTCTCTAGAGATGACTTTGTGTGACCACTAAACGGAGTAGAGCTGAAAACGGATGACTGCTTCATTTTTTGCGAGTAAATACGATTATCGGATACAAAACTTTGTAGGAAATAATGACAAACATCACCAGGCCGATTAAATGCCTTCAAACTCACGGATGGTAGCTGAAACAGAATTTACCGTTAGGGGATGCTGATAATATGGCATGATAAATACGTGAAGAAATATTTCGAGTTTGAGTGGATTACTTTCCATTATTTAACATCTTTCTAATCACTAGATGATGACAGCAAACGATCAAAGCAGGAAAATAATGCAACTGAAAATAAGACTACTGTTATGATAGATACCAGATTAAGGTGTAGCGATGTAGTAGATTTGGAAGAGTTAGTAAGTGCAGTGATGATGATGATGAGTTACCTGAACGTTGACTAACTTTTGGATACTTGGCACCACAAATAAGACCATATACCTTTAGGTATCATGTACAAGTGAACACTTGATCGAAAGTGTCTTTAAAAAAAGTAAACGCATAAAATCAAAATGGAAACTAAACTATCAGCTTGTAAATCTTTACAATGAAAAAAGTTCTAAAATATTAATTATTTCCCTTTTTTAAACTCAAAACTGGATTTCAGAATTACTTGGCATAGTTGAGATTCACTCTGAAACAGCATCTGAAGACAAATGAAAATAATCACAATTCGCGTGAACTGACAGTCATAGTGGATTACCCATCAACGTATTTTATGTTTCAAATGCAAACAAAAATGAATATTATATTTAACATACATACATCCTGTGGTTTACATATGCGAAACTTGGCCAAGTTATATTTTTGGATTCCATCTGTCCGCTCCACTACGCAAGTCATCTCTATTTTCCCTAGATGACTAAAAGTTCGCCATACCATTTTCTTGACTACTGGGCTGCACCATATTAAAAAAATATTACGATGCCTTGCATAAATATCATCCTGATATAGATTAAACGGAGACATGAACTAAATATTGATGTGAAGAGGTGGGAAACCTAGTGTCTTTTTTTGAGTTTCATAAGTGATAGCGTTCGGGAAAAACCAACCTCGAAGGCTAATTTTTATACATCGACAAGTACATCGCACAAATCACATCTAACGGAAATAAGATGTGGTCCAAGTTACCGCACTTCTCGGATGCACAAGAAACAAATGAAGGATGAGGACATCAAAGTTAATACGATAAACTGCGAGACTCTAATTTATGGACGAGCCAATCAGAAGTGTTCGAGGGGTTCCAAGGTCACAGAACCAACTTCAGTACTTATTGCTAACGTATGATCGGTTTACAGAGGATTTTATGCAAAACGTGATAATTGAGCGGCTATAACAAATAAAATAGCGAGACTATAACTTGTGAACGAATCAATCAGTTATAAGATAACAGATCATGGATTTTGGTGCGAACGTCTTTCATTTATTTGGCCAAATAGAATTTCGGCATTATAGCTGACGTCAGTTCGTGATGAAAACCTTATATATAAATCCTAACTAAAGCAAATTATGACAATTATTGCGAACTGGATAATAAAAGTACAAGTAGCACTGGCTGCAGCTAGGTACTGCAATATATACGGATGTTTGGAGAGCGTACAGACTCCCACATAGGCTTGGTTATGTGTATCGTGTAGTCATCCACAAGTGGTATTTTGTGTACTCAACAACTGGAGTGCACACAAACGATATTGGAGCTGTGGTCGAGGCTGAAAGAGTTTTTGCGACCTTATCATGGTTCCAGAGACCGGTCATTCTATAACCATATGGATGATTTTTTCTGCTGCATACACTACGATTTTGGAACCTCCGAACCTCTTTTTTACGTTGACAAGTTTTAGAACCATGTATAATAAGTGTATCTACTTTATTTCTTCGGTTTTGTATAATAGATTTTTATTCTATAGTGACTGCTGATTGACTAATATTTCTCAAGGTCACTTAAGATTCGTTCAAAGGTCGTCCATTAATTATAGTCTCGCTCGATAAATAAGTCGGAAAATAAGAGACAAACAATAGGAAACTGTAAGTTCCGAAAAGCGATTTGGAATGGATATAGTTAAATTACGGAAAGAAAAATTCATTACTTATGAGCTGAGGGTTGACTTATTACGTAGAAGTTTAGCTAGGCTGAAGGGTTAACTCTATGGGACACAAATGATCTTTATGTTTTGATAAGCCATATCTACAAAATAACAAATTTATCAAAAAAACTACCTGTATATTTCGTCAATGGATAATCACGGTGTTACAAATGTTACTTCAAAATTTGCCACATTATACTTGCAATTAATTAATACTAAATACAATTCGGTTAAAGAGTTAAGTTAGTAATCAAATCAATAACTGTGAAGTAGTCTGCAGATCCTTTTCTAGAAAGAAATCTGACGCATTGGCTGTTTAAGATGATGCTCAAACAAAACAGAGGGTAAACTGTAAACCAGTGTTCAAAATTTACTGGATGATAAAACACAGATACATACTGACGGGTATTACTGTACTACTCCAAAGCCTTATATTTGTTTGTGAAAAGGATACTAAGTAAGAATTCATCCTGAATGACAACGAATATCATCAAAGCCAGGATCAGAAAACGAAATCACACGACTGAAGTGATTTCTGCAAGCGACTTAAATCTTTCGAAATTACAGATAAAATCTAAAGATACGTAATGTTTTAGAAATTGAGGCTGATAGAAAGACATAAATTTCTACCGAGATTGTATGTGATGTGAATACTCGCAAAATCAGAGATTACAAACCAAAAATACAGTTAGTTTGAACTTCTTACTAGATTTCTAAAGGAAGAACCGTTATAAGTTGTTATGTTGTTGCTTTTGTCTTTCCCACTAAGATCCCGACAATTCCGATTGAAGATCCGCTCGTAAACACTTGAGACACGAGATGAGCTGGAAAAAAAGTACTTCTAGAGCCACAAATGTTATTTTTACCATAACTTTAATCGTTTCGTGTCAGGATAAAGCGGTACGTCATCATCCAAGTCACAAACAGGGAGAGGAGCTCGGAAGCAGAACCCCGCCTCAGTTTCCTTCATTGCGCCCCAAAGGTCATGTCAAGGTTTGGAACTAATGTTTCAATATATAATCTTTCTGACTGACTGGTACCAGTCAGTTGAATTATTTTCACTAACATCATGATTACAAAAAAACAGCTCAAAGTTTGTCGCAGCATAAAGTTAAGCTGATACAACTGGTCATATCTAGCTTCAACTACGCATTCAGTTTCAGTTTGGAAAGGACAGGAGGTTTGATAACCTGCGTTAGTCCTGACAATGATGGTGTCTCAGTTGATCCAACTTTCTTTTGAAAGAGTCAGCGGACGGAGCTTGAACCACGTGCTGAGGTAATGAATTCCATTCGTTGATGATTCGATAGGAAAGTCGATAGTCGGCTGACAAGTAATTTGCCCTGTGCTTGTGAACTTCTTTGAAGCATCCTCGTAAGTTCTCTGCTTTGGAATACAAAAAAATGATGGCATATCGGGTGCAAATTTATCAATAAGCAGCTTTAAAATTGTAATGAAGCCACCTCCAGTTTTTCGTTATGACAACGGGAATAGGATTAGCTTGGCCAGACGATCATCATACGAGAGCTTCGCTATTCCGGAAATCAGCTTGGTTTCTGCTCTCTAGACCTTTTCCAAAAGCTTAATGTCTTTTTTAGGCAGGGGCTAGCTGCTTGTATGCATTGCTTAAGTTTAGGACGTACGAACACTGTATACAAAGTCAAAATGTTTTCAGCATCGACATGACTAAAGGCCCTACGTATTGACCACAAAGTTCTGAAACCTTTGGCGGCTACTGCACGGCAGTGTGCAGTAGTCTTTAAGTCTTGGATAGCGATGAATCCTAATTCATTGTGTGTCTGGACAGCAGGTAGTTCAGTGTTACTTATCGTGTATGTATCTTGACGACCGATATGCATCACAATACACTTGGAAGTATTTATCGGCAACTGCCCGGTTTGAGACCATTCAGATAATTTCTCCAAGTCATTTGGAAGTTCTTAGCTATCACCTTTACTTCGTATCGCTTGTATTCGAGTTGGGATTACCAATTGTAGCGTGACGTCGAGTTCAGATTAACTGTGAACACCGCTACCAAGAAACACATGCCAGATAAATCAGAAGGCGAGGGTTGGACGTAACCAAATAGATCCATAAAATCCCCGAGAAGCCAAATACCAGAAGCCAATTAATGGACCAAGCCGAGGTTTATTAGCTGGCGATCTCGTGGCATCGAAAGGATACCGAGATCGTGCCAGGATACAACCTTGGTTACAGAAGGTAACCGAATTCGCGCGAAGTTACAATCGAAGTGTAAGTATAAGAATGGAAGCACAAAATAGCTGTCATTAGCACAGTCAAACAAAAGCACATTAAAACAAACACTGGTACAGTTGGTTATAATAATAATTGTTTTTATTAAACCAGTCGTGTTCTCGTGATAAACGTGAGTCAATACACGCTCTCCTTATGTTCACGTCGTCAGCACTGAGCAAGACCGATGATGATAGGAGACAAGAAAGGTCATTTACGTACAAAAGGAGTGACGCTGGCCCCAAAACTGTGCCGTGGTGCACTCCACTAAGCATAGTTTTCCAGCTAGAAAACTTGGAGTTCACCCGTACTGTTTGTTGGCGCCCAACTGAGAAGTCTTTTATCCACACCAATAGATTGCCTCCAACCCCGAAATTTTCCAACTTATATAACAGCCGGTTGTGCAGAACTTTGTCAAAAACTTTGCTGAAGTAAATGTAGGCTACGTCTACACGTAGCTTTTGGTCCTTAAGAGACCTCACGAGCCACTAATAACTTAGTGAGACAGGAATAACTTATTCTAAAACCATGCTGCTTCTCCGGAAAGATTTGGTTTTCATCGAGGTACTTAAAAGCTCCTTTCGAATAATCTTTTCTAAGATTTTAACAACCACACTAGTTATGCTAACGGGTCGGTATTTCTCAGGTTTATATTTCGTACCTGTTTTTAAGACTGGACTTACTGTGGTGATCTTCCGGTATTTTGTTAAAGGACTCTGGGTTACGGATAGATTAAAGCGTATACTTAAAGGGTTCTCAACAAAGTTAGCCAATTCCTTCAGTAACCTGGGATGCAGCTCATCGGGTTCCGTGTACTTGCATATGTCTTGCTTATTTAGCAGACCAAAGACACCGAGTTTTTTAATGGTCTCGTCGTTCAGTGTTAGTGTGAAGGGATTTGCATGGACTGACGGGGTGTTTCTATGGTGTATATATGGCTAAAGTAGTTCGAGAATACTTGAGCTTTACCAAAGTCATCCTCCATTAATGATGAAGCAGTACTGTCTCCCCATAGTACCGGAATATTTCCTCATCCATGAACGGGGAGTTTATCGACCCCCTTGGTGTAGTCCAAGGGATGTTGGGTGCAGTAACTTTTAAGGATAAATTTCAAAATACGTCTCAAGCCGTTTCAATTGAGGACTCTGGCTCTATTGTCTAATCTCATAACGATGCTGAGTGTATTATACCTTGTGTATTGCTTTCCAGACGTGAGCCTGGATTGAGCTGACGCACGCTCGTGTTAAACAATTATATGGAAGTCAAAGGTTAGAATTGCATGATCAATTTTACGTAGGAGTGTCATTCAATCGAGGTTCGTAACGTCATTCTCTTAATGGGTCAATATAGGATCTGGTAAGGATAATTCAGAGTCCGGGTCGTACCTATGAAAAATAACTGACCTGGTTAGTCTTCAATTTCCCGACTACTTTATTTTGTGGAGAGGGAGAATTTTCTTTTATACCGTTATGTCGTTTCTTACTTACGACCTGTACCCATTCATCAACCTTCGTTAGGGTAGCAAACACAGTCACGTCAAACATATTGTGTAATTTCGGAGGGTTTTCGACGACTTGGGAAGTCAGATTTTGTTTCCTGCTAGAAACAGATCGATCCTTGAGATTGCGATTCCTAGGTGAGAAGTTCCACTTGTTGATAATTTGACATGAAAGTCGGTTTACAGCAATGAATAAACTTATTCTGGACTAGCTAAGCTTTCCAGAGTATCCTCCTGATTTCACCATTTTGGATAGCAAGAAAAGTACTGGCATGTCAAATGAGAAACCACAAATTTAAAAACTGTGGTAGTCACATTTAGTCCTTCAGTACGATAAAGGGAATATTCTTGGTTTAGCCGACCTCTCATAATAAGGCGGCGTTATAATTCTGGTAATTACCTTAGTTGTGAATTTTCGAACGTTTTACTATAGTTTACTCCTCTGGGGGAGGCTGGGGTGAGCTACTTGTAGGCGAATTGTAGATTGGGTAAAAAATTCTCAAAATCAGTAGCTCTGTAAGTCTTCGTCATTTTATACTGAATGTATTGGTTTTAATTGACTCACCTAGCTGAAGACGCCCGGTCACGCATTCACATCAGATCACGAGAAGCAAGCCGCGATTCACATCTCCCATGGTCGCCAACCAGCTTAGATTAGTCACTTCTCGACTAGTTGATATCCTGTCAATTATATCTCCGAGCCTTTTCTGACTTCCGGTTTCACTGGGTCGACACGGTTTGATTACAACTGTTGTTTCTGGTTAAGGTGTTGTCAAAGTGTGAATATTTGTGGCATCCGTAACTGCACTCCAAGTTAAAAAGGTTCTGGCATCGACTTGGTTGGAGGCCCTACATAGTTACACAAGGGTACCAGAGAGTGCAGTGGTTGCCACATGGTAGTGTGTAGTAGTCCCGATTCGTGGCAAACGATGACTCATAGGTCACTATGTGTCTTCATAACAGATTAACCAAGGCTTATCATTGTGTGTGTACCTATACTTTAGTGACCAATGTGTTGTAGTTCCCTTGTATTCATTTATCACGCTTTTTGGGAGGAGCAGATTTTCTCCTACATACTTAGATAACTTCTCCCAAATTATCGCTACTCTGATTGGGCTCTCCGAACGAAAGTTCTGAGGTTTTTATCTCACATCTGTTTTAAAGACGGGACTTACTATGACATCCCTACAGTCTGTTGATAATTTACCTTGGGTTACAGATAAATCAAAAGAAATGCTCTGATGTTATGCAGTAGAACTTGACAGTTGAGTTGACAATTTAAGTTAAAGTTCGTCATGTTTCATAGATTTTCCTTACTGTCTACGCATTTATAAATATGTTATTTATTCACATTTGTAAAGTGGTTTTTAAAGACATGAACTTTATCGTTGTCGTTTCCACTGACTTTGTAGTCCAACCGTCTCTATACAGTACAGTGATGACGCTGTCTCTTCTTGGTTCCCCGAGTTATATGCCAATGAACGCGCTATATATATCCTACGCCATACATAACAAGCTCTTCCTCAAACGTCCTTCTAGACTTATTTGTAACCAAAGCACAAATATTTGTCTTTTCAATATAAAACCTTCCTCCCAGTGCCCAGTAACCCAATACTTTGTCACATTTTTTTCTCTTAAAAAAACATAACTGTTTAGATGAACACATGCGATGTATTCTATGAATGCACAGGTGACTGTCTAACTTCCTCTAGAAGGATCTGTGATCGAAACTTCAAACTTTTCACGTGGAATCAACTCATAATGTGAGAAAAAGAGATAGAATAAAAGTATTCGCTCCTTGAATAAAAGTGATTTGAGGATTATCTCATGTGTTGAAGTGATGGTCTTTGGCCAAAACTCTATTGTTAAGATGAGTCAAATACTTTACATATTGAATGCTGTTATTAGGTTTCCTCTTTCCCCTCTAATCCCTGACGTTAATCATTTGAGCTGATAAAACTAAAACTCACATGACGAATTTCTTAATTTTGTCACTGTCACCAATGTCTTTACCTAGTTATAAGTGGACTTATATCACACCAGATGTGAGAATGTCTAAACATATTTGAAGTTTCGAAACGTTAGTGGATGTAAGTTTATAACTCCTCACTATCAAGTGAGGAGTAAATTTATCACGCAATATTTAAGGACAAAGAATGAGGATATACGCTGCGACTGCCTCCTCAATATTTTTGCTTCAAGTCCTCCCCTGTCAGAGCTTGTGAATAAAACTTCAC